TCAATCCGTGAGTCCGTGAACATCAGTGCGCCTTAACTCAAATGGCGCGCACAATATAACCAGATATTTGTAGGGAAAATCAAGATGTTTAAATTCGGGATCTGAAGAATGTTGGTGAAGTTAAGGATATATCTGCCTGCCGCAGTACATAGGTGCAAAAGTATGGGCTGATAACAAAACTGGACCAGGAAGCACCATTCCGTATATCAATCCGTGGTTAGGTAAATGCTACCAGCGGCAAAAGCATCGATTGTAGCAAAAACCAGCCGATAAGAAGTAGCAAACAAGAACCACCCGTTATATCCAGACAAATCGTGCTGGTTCAGGGATTAAGCCGGATTACTCGGATAGGGTTTTCTTTCGCAGGATCCATGCCCAACAGAAAACGGGATACGGGTTCAGAGTTGAGTAAACGCCAATTTTCATATATCCTATTCTTCTTGAGGATAACGAGAATTAGACTATTAAGGGAGGAATTGAAAGACAATTATAGCGTTTAAAGATGCATCATGCAAAATTGTGTGCAAAAGAAAAAATATACAAGGGGATGATATCTACCCAAAGTAACACAGGAAAGGGTGTTTTTTTGGCTGATCCAAAAACAACGCACGAATAGGTCGTTCCCAGAAATTGGACATGCAGAGAAGAAATGGAATTTTTTGCGAGCTCTATAATATTTTAAATGAATGTGGTGGCATGATAATCTACAACCTACGACCCAACTGAACGCTCATGACTATCGTAGGCTGCTGGGACACAGCATGACCTTCTTCCCCGGGACTTTAAAATGGCAGTCCGGTTACAGAAGTTTGGAGAATGTTTAGACTTTCTACACATTTCTCGTATCCTGTTCACCATGAAATTCAAGGTACCTAGAATTTGTAATCATTTTTCATTATCACTTTCATCGCTAGCAGAATTATTGAGGTTAACTTACATGCCGTCCAACCCGCTAGCTGCACACTGTCAATTATTACGGCTTCCTCACCCATAACCTCTCTTATTTCTTAGCTAATGAAGCAAACAACACACAACTCACGCGCTAGTAGAATGCTCACATTATGTCTAAAATTTTGTTTGATCTCAACCCTTTATCCCCTTGGCCCACGTACACTGGATTTTTGCTTATTCGCTGACCCAGATTATAAAGGCATTTATTGCCGATTTTTAATTCCTCGAACGCTTAGTCTCGATGGGATGTCGTTCTTTTCCGCCTCAACTTCCAACGGGCTTGTGCACTGATCCGCGGCGTGAGTGTTCTTCACAAATTCTCCATAATATTCGGAACTACGAAGATATGCACTGGTTATGGAGTTCTTGAAAAGGCTTTGTTTCATCCTTTTCCAGTCCCTCCACTCTAAACCGTTAAACCGCGTCTT